CCCCCCCCCCCCCCCCCCTCTCTCTCTCTCTCTCTCTCTCTCTTTCTCTCTGGATCAAAAAATCACATATAAGCCTTTAAAGGAGATTCTTATTGACTGCACATGTTGTTGACTGGGAAAGCAAATTATTGCAAATTCTTGCAGGATCAAGGAAGGAAGCATATCGTATATATATTCTATTAAAAACAAAACAAATGAAACTCTTTGCATGACAAGATGTCACAAAAGTAATAAGTAAGAAATAATAATAATGCAAGGCCTCACCTAAACAAACACGGGAATGGAAGACAAATAATGTTTTTCAATATGGCTGATTATTGTGCAATCTAAGTCTAATAACTGACTATATTAAACCATAAAAATGTCTCGCCATCTTCCTCGGTGACCCTTGGAGTAATCTATTAGTTTTTTTTAAGCAGGTGTGTAGATTTCTTGAATTGTCAGGACTCTGAGTTTTAGTGATAGAAACAGAGCATGTGTAAGAACGAGTGGGCGAAGTGAGTGTGTACACAAGTGAAATGATTTACCTCGATCGGAATAAATAAAGCCTTTAAGGGTTAACGGGCGTGTCCTGTTAATAAATTGAAAATCTTAACCCTGAGTCATCAGAGTGTAAAAACTGCCTTGTTGGCCCGACTCTGAGTCAAAATGAAATCTACAATGTTTGGACTTTATCGTTCTATAGCAGAGATGAAATCAATCAAATCTTCCACTTGTGTAGCGAGAAGCAGGAAGATGAAATCATTATTAAACGTTGATTTATTATATCAGCTTTTATTTATAACACAGGTTTGTTCTGGCTGCTTTTGTGGCCGTCTGTTTGGATGTGTGATGTTCTGAGGGTGTTAGCCATCTGCACTCAGGAGTAGCAAGAATTATAATTTAATTCAGAACGATTCGTTTGAATGAATGAGTGTGAAGCGTGCTCACATTTTGAGAGTTTAGAACTAATTCTGTGCTTTGGATGATGATCGCTGACTGCTGCAGGATGCATCGCAAGGCCATGCAGCCGAACGCCGAGGGATACAATTAAAGCGTCATCAACAAGAGACAGAAACAATAGAGCCACAAACCTACCTTCAGGGTTAGTCAGCAGTTTGTGTGTGTGTGTGTGTGTGTGTGTGTGTGTGTGTGTGGGTGTGTGTGTGTGTGTGTGTGTGTGTGTGTGTGTGTGTGTGTGTGTGTGTGGTGTTGTGTGTGTGTGTGTGTGGTGTGTGTGTGTGTGTGTGTGTGTGTGTGTGTGTGTGTGTGTGTGTGTGTGTGTGTGTTTCAGAGCTTAGCCTGTCTGTGTGCTCTTTGCTGCCGTGGCAACTAGAGCCACCACATACTAATATTTTAGTTCGCCTTACATAATCGTCTGCTTTTGATCCAAACAGCGAGTGGATGTTCAGATGAAGTGTCTCGGGGACAGTTTGTCTGCCCCCCCCCCCCCCCCCCCCCCCGGGGCTCCACACTGCTCCTCTAAACTGACCGTCGTCTCAGGACAGATTTACTGCCTCATCAGCGGCTTTTTATTATCCTCCTCTCTCTCTCCAGTCCAAACACACAAACCCTCCTCAGACTCGGCTCCCTCATCTCCTTTGATCCTCATGTTGAGGTCTTCTATATATTCTGTCTTTCGACGTGTGTGCTTTAAAAACACAGAAATATGAAAACAGTGAACTCAGAAGATGAAGAGAGTTTCATAAACAGATGATATTTTACATCCAAGATAAACAATTGTGCGATAGGTTTTTAGGCACATAGTTAATCCTGAAATCATATAGACGCATAGGAGTCCGTGTTTACGTTTGTGCAAAGTCGGCCTTTTACTGTCTCTGCAGTGTTTGATTTTTATAAGAGTACAACCTTGTTTTCCAGAAAGTCAGGACGCTGTAACATGTAACTCAAAGCAGAATGTGATGAATGTGAACATACCCAACTGAGAAAGTATTAGCACATTCATTTTGAATCAAAAAAAAGTAGTGACACACACAGTAATGTTTACTGTAGACTGCTTCTTTATCAACTATCTGTAAACCTTTAGGTAATTAACAATCACAACTGAGCAATTTATTATTTTATACTTTATTTTTCATTTTTGTTTTACAAGAAACACAGAACAAGTGAGGACGAGAGCATGACAGTATGAATAAGATCAAACACAAGAATGTAAAAGGCACAGGTACAGTACATAATGGATGGTACATTCAAATGAAAAAATAAATATTTACGAGTCTTTATCTTTGTATAAATCCCATTTTCTCCAGTATTCTTCTCCCTTCTCCTTTTGAAGTCGCAGGACAAAAGTCATTTTTTCCATAAAGCTGATGGAATTCACAATGTTCCTCAAGAGTCTCATGGTAGGAGGATTTCAACTGAGCAATTTTTTTTATTTATTTATATATATTTTTAGAGATTTATTTTTGGGCTTTTTGTGCCTTTAATGGATAGACAGGACAGCGGATAGAGTCGGAGATCAGGGAGAGAAAGTGGGTAATGACATGTGGGAAAGAGGCCACAGGTGGGAGGTGGACCCGGGCCGCCCGCTTGAGACGACAGCCTCCATACATGGGGCGCGCGCACCAACCACTGCGCCACCAGTGTCCCAGCAATTTTTAATTAATTATGTTAAAGTAAGTTTCCTCACAAGTACTTTTGCAAAGTTACATCAATTTAAAATTAGTATAAAATCCACACAGTAAACGTTGGCATGAAAAACAAACTAGAGGATGAGGTAACTGGTTCACCTTTCCTCTGACAAATCTGTGTTTTTTGTTGTCTGCACCCTGAAAGCCTGTTAGAGCGTTAAGTCTGACAAATGTGTTTTCTGTTTTTGTTTCTATTGCTCCTGTAGTACTTGATGTTCTGCAGAAGCGCTGTGTTTCTCTCGCCTTTATATAATCTTCTCACTCTCCAGTTCTGCTTTCTGCAGCAGCTGTAATCCAAGTTGAACCTGTGTGTGATAGGCGACACCTCTCAGAGGCTTCAAATAATAATGAGAGTATCAGATGCTGCCTGTCTTTTGATTTTCATCCTTTTGTTCCACGTATCACTTATAGCTGACTCGATTAGTAAGAGAATATTAAAAACAACTCAATTGTTTTATGATAATTAATTCATCGTCTCAGTCATTTATAGATAACAAGAGCCCAACATTGCATTACTTTCGACATCCAGGCTGGCTGATGAGATGTTGAGTTTATTTTTTCTCACACAATCTTTTCTCTATTTTGTTAGATTTTAACAATGAACTGTTTGTGATAAGTGTAATCTGTGTGTGTGACAATAGGCGGAGCGCAGTGCTTGCGATGTCAACATCCTCACCATCCCGGTGCCCATGCGTCGCGGCGGCTCAGAGTCCAACCTGGACGTGGTGGACAGCGTCGGGGACGATGGAGTCGGCCTGGATTTCAGCAAGGGAGCGCTGGGTATCGACAGCCTGCAGCAGAAGATCCTCAAGGTCAGAGGCGAGATCTTTTTTTTTTAGATTGACTGTGTTTGACCTGCAGAGCCGTGTGTACACATGTGAGCACACAGCACACAGAAAGGTCAAAATCATCACCGGGTACTGCGGGGTAGTCAGACATCTCCTCAGATCGGTTTGTAGAGCAGGTGAAGCTGCGTTTCCTTCTCCAATATGATACAAAAGAAAACATTGAATTCAGTCTAAAATAAATTCTTACCCATCTTCTGTGTTACATTGATCCTTATTTTTGTCTCAGGTAGGTTTTCTCCATTTATGATGAAATCTAAGAGGAAAACATCTGCCATTATACCATGAGGGAAAAGCTCAAACTTTTCAGAACTTTTTTTTATTTGCTCAAAGTGCCACAAATTCTACTGAAATTGATGCTTCAGCTCTTGTTGATTCAGTGAGTCACTGTCAGCGTTATTGCTGAGGATGCTGGAGTCATTACCGACCTCGTTAAAGATTCCCCTCTGGAGCTTTTCTGTTCACTTAAAAAAAAGGAAACATTCATTTGTTTCTCATGAAGACTCTTCCTTGTGGTTGACTGCATTTCCCTGCATTCTCACAAAACATTTCCGAAGCAGCAGACTATTTTTAAATGTTTGAATGCAGCTTTGTTTACTTTATGTTTACTAGCTTACAAAACAACTCGGAGGAAAATCAGCTCAGTAATGTCGCTAGAAAAAATACACAAAAGCTCCACAGGTTCCTTTAAGCAGACATCAGCAAAACATCAGAACCACAAGCAGTTTTCTGTTCCAACAGTGTGGTGCTAAAAAAAAAGTATGTTTATTTATCCTACATGAAGTTATAGAATAGAATAGAATTACTCTATTGATCCCAAACTGGGAAATTGTGGTGTTACAGCAGCAGGTTATCAAAGCAAATAAAACAATATAAGAATAGATACATAAAAAAGCACTTAGAATATAAAAAATAAGAATAAGAAGAGATTTATACATCAAGGATTTAACTTAACATTCTTACTGGTTTAAAAAAAAAATGAAAAATGAAATACAACATTTATTCAGGCTTGTCAACTGAAAGTAAAAATGAGATGAGATGAGATTCAACTTTATTGTCATTACACATATACAAGTATAGAGTAACGAAATGAGGTTTGGCATCTCACCAGAAGTGCAAATAAGCAGAAAGTGCAAGAGTCTGTGCTATGTACAGTAATTACAAATGTACAGATGTAGACTAAAAAAAGTGAATTATTAGGTATATCTTGATGGCTGGATCAATGGGATTCTGTAAATATAAATAAATGCTATAAATATAAGTGTATTCTTAGGATTATAATATACAGATTAAGATGCAGTGAGCATGCTATACTAGTTCACAGATAATATAAAGAATATGGACATAATATGAACATACTATAATACAATAATACAGATGGATGAGAGATGTGTGTGTGTGACCAGGAGGAGTGGTGGGGGGATGATGTGATATGTAGGGGAAAGGGGGGTCAGCAGGGTGCGGAGAGAGAGAGGGAGAGAGAGAGAGAGACAGAGTTCAGAGTTCGGGGGTAGAGTTCAGTAGAGAACAGCTCTGGGGAAAAAGCTGTTCCTCAGTCTGCTGGTTCTGGTCCGGAGGCTTCTGAAGCGCCTGCCGGAGGGCAGGAGGGTAAACAGTCTGTGGGCAGGGTGGGAGGAGTCTTAAGGATGCCATGAGCTCGCCGCAGACAGCGTTTCTTTGGACATCCTCAATGGCAGGAAAGTGGACACCTTGTGATGCGCTGGGCGGTTTTTACACCCGCTGTAGCGCCTTACGGTCTGCTACAGAGCAGTTTCCGTACCAGACTGAGACACTGCTGGTCAGGATGCTCTCGATCACACAGCGGTAGAAGTTCATCAGTACAGCTGAAGACAGGTGGTGTCTCTTCAGTGTCCTCAGGAAAAAGAGGCGTTGATGAGCCTTCTTAACCAGACTGGAGGTGTTAGTGGACCAGGAGAGGTCCTCTGTGATGTGGGTCCCCAGGAACTTGAAGCTGGAGACACGTTCAACAGCCATCCCGTTGATGTGAATGGGGTTGTGTGTGCTTCCTCTTTCTCTCCACGATGATCTCCTTCGTCTTGCTGGTGTTGAGGAGCAGGTTGTTGTCAGCACACCAGGCGGCCAGATGCTGTACCTCCTCCCTGTAGGCCGTGTCATCGTTGTTGCTGATGAGGCCAATCACCGCCGTATCGTCCGCAAACTTGATGATGGTGTTGGAGCCATGTACAGGTCTGCAGTCGAGGGAGTAGAGGAATGGGCTCAGCACACAGCCCTGTGGTACGGGATGACAGAGTTGAATGCTGAGCTAAAATCAACAAACAGCATTCGTGCGTATGTGTTGTTATTGTCCAGATGAGTGAGCACAGAGTGCAGCGCAGTGGAGACTGCATCCTCTGTACTCCTATTGCTGCGGTAGGCAAACTGGTATGGGTCCAGTGTGGGTGGGAGGCAGTTTTTCAGGTGTTCTAGGACCAGTTGCTCAAAGCACTTCATTATGATGGGTGTGAGTGCCACAGGGCGGTAGTCGTTCAGGCCTGTCGGGCTGGAGTGTTTCGGCACTGGGACAATGGAGGTGGCTTTGAAGCATGCTGGCACAGCTGCTTGGGCGAGGGACAGGTTGAAGATGTCCGTAAAAACCCAGTGAGCTGCTCCGCACATGCTCTAAGCACGCGCCCGGGGGTGCCGTCTGGACCAGCAGCCTTTCGAGCGTTGATCCGGCTCAGTGCAGCGTGGACGTCTGTGGAGGTGAGTGAGAGGGGCTGGTTGTCTGCAGGAGGTCTGGTCGTGGTCTGCGTCTCTCTGTTGTCTCTATCGAAACGAGCATAAAAGTGATTTAGCTCGTTCAGGAAGGAGACATCTGTGGTTATCGGGGTGGAGTTTCTGGGTTTATAGTCACTGATGGCCTGGATGCCCTGCCACATGCGTCTGGGGTCGGAGTTGGAGAAGTGTTCCTCTACCTTCAGCTTGTAGCAGTGCTTGGCCTTGATGATGCCCCTCCTCAGGTTTGCCCTGGATACGCTGTAGGCCATTGCATCATCTGATCTGAAGGCGGTGTTGCGGGCCTTCAGCAGGAGACGCACCTCCTTGTTCATCCATGGCTTCTGATTTGGGTACATGGTGATCTGCTTCCATGTTGTAACACTGTCGATGGTGGTGTTGATATAATCCAGCACAGAAGAAGTGTAGGTGTCAATGTCTGTGTGAGAGCCCAAGGTAGCCTGAGAAGCAAACATACTCCAGTCTGTGTGATGGAACTTGTCCTGAAGTACAGAGTCTGTCCCCGCTGGCCACACTTTAATCGTTGTCACTGATGGCTTCACACGTTGGATGAGTGGCAAGATGGCGCCGCCATCTTGGTTCAGCAAATACTTGCTGAAGGTAAGAGATGTAAGTTTGCAAAAACAGTGATGACAGTGGTAAATGTGCAATAAAGATATAGAGGGTTGGCCAGAGCTGTGCAAATTCATGGCTGTGCAATCAAATATATAGAATAGAACAGAATTACTTTATTGATCCCAAACTGGGAAATTGTGGCGTTACAGCAGCAGGTTATCAAACACACAATATGAGTAAAAAAACACAATGTTAGCAAATTTAAACACAATATAATATTAAATACAAAGTAAATAAGCAGTAAACATATCAAAACTAAGAATGGGAATATATACAACCAGGATTTAATGGATAGGATAGGATTGTCAGGATATACTGTATGTTAAAGTGCAGGAGTGTAGATACGTTATCAGTTGAAGTTATGAATGTGACCTGAGAAAATAGAAGAGAAACTGTAATATTTTTTCTCCTTCCTTTTAGGTGACAGAGAAGATTAAGGTGGAGCAGACGGCCCGGGACCAGAATGTGGCCGAGTACCTGAAGCTGGTGAACAACGCCGACAAGCAGCAGGTGTCTCGGATACGTCAGGTGTTTGAGAAGAAGAACCAGAAGTCGGCGCACACCATCGCCGGGCTGCAGAGGAAGCTGGAGCAGTACCACCGCCGCATGAAGGACAGCGAGACCAACGGGAAGCACAGCCACAAAGACGGCAGCAGCAAGGAGTCCGGGACGCACAGCAAGGAGGGCAGCCTGAAGGACGTGAGCGCCACGGGGAGACACCCGGCCCTGGACAAAGTAAAGACCATCGGACCCGGCGTCTCGCTCTCCCCGCCGTTCTTCTTCAACAAGTCGCGGGAGTTCGCCAACCTCATCCGGAACAAGTTTGGCAGCGCCGACAACATCGCCCACCTGAAGAGCTCCATGGAGGCGGGGTCGGGGCTGCAGGCGGAGGGCGGGGGGAGGGGTCTGAGTGGGAGCGCCACGACCGTCGCCAAGGCGACCAAGTACCAGAGCGACGACGAGTGCTCCACGGGGACGTCGGCTTCCGCGGACTCTAACGGGAACTTGGCCGGGGGCTCGGGGGCGGGGTCCGGAGGGCCGGGGAGGTCGGAGTCCAACGGGAGGATGGGCGAGGTGCTGGACATGGTGCGGGACATCAGGGAGGCTCAGGCTCAGCTGGCGGAGGACATGGAGAGTTTGAGCACTCAGTTCAAACGGGACTACAGCTACTTCACCCAGGTGATCCAGGAGGAGAGATACAGGTGGGTGCAGACACACACACACACACACACACACACACACACACACACACACAAGCATGAAAAACATCCAGCATATGAAAGACAGCCGTCACACTCCAGCACGCTCTTCATTCAGACACCGCTTTCATTATAAATCTCCCTGCGTAATCCAACCAACCACGACCACACATTAAGATATGACAGGACAATGAAGTTAGCAGCTTAACCGCCAAACAGATCCACACGCAGTCGCCTCTTTGTCCCTGAAAAGCGTCTCATACTGACACGTGATTTGATGCTCTTTTATAATACTGTCAGTGAGTCTTTGCAGAGTCGAGAGGCAGAGGATTTTTCACTTCTGAATCAGGCTTTTTTACTTCCATTACCTGAAGGGACATTTTGTAAACGTGCATCAGGAACAGC